TCTGAGGTCTGGTCATAGGCCCTTCTGCCCTGCTGTCTTCATCCATGTTCAGGTGCCTGGCGGTTCCTTTGTGCCAGCGCCTAAGTCACCTTTCTGGCTTAGCCAACAGGGGTGGTCGCACCTTTCTTTTGGAAACCCTCGTGCCCCTGTCTTTAGTTTTCGTCTTTATTTACCGTGCTATCTAGTTTTTTGTCGACCTGAAAAAAAGCTAGAGTCATTTGGGAAGTGGGACTGTCAGTTGAGAAAATGTCTCCATGAGTTTGGCTTGTAGGCAAATCTGTAGTGCATTTTCTTAATTAGTGATTGATGGAGAGGGCCCAGCCCCTTGTGGGCAGGGCCACACCTTGGACTGGTGGTTCTGGGTGGTCTAAGAAAGGAAGTAATGGGTGTACGAGGCCTCTGTACCAGTTCCTGCCCTGCTGTGTTCATACCCTGACTTCCTTCAGTGACGGACAGTTACCTGGAAGTCTAAGATGAAATAACCCCTTTCCTCTCCTGATTGCTTTGGTCATAGTCTTTATCACAGCAAAAGAAACCCTAAGACTTTATCCTCTCTACTTATCCCTGAATTTTTCTGGCAGTACTAAGGATTGAACCCAGGGCCCCACACATGCTGGAGAGTGTTTTATAATTGAGCTATATCCCCAGGTATATTGTTATTTATTTATTTTTCATTTATTTAATTTAGTAAGTGTGCATGTGTGTGGATGCTTGCCCACTGTAGCACATAGGTGGAGGTCCAAGGATTACTGAAGGGAGCTGGTTCTCCCCTTTCACCTGGTGGATGAAATTGAACTCCGATTGTCAGGTTCAGGGGCAAGTGAGCCATCTTGCCAGCCTTGCTCTTTGGATTTTTAAATTTTATATATATATATATATATATATATATATATATATATACACACACACACACATAGTATACAATATTCTGTCTGTCTGTATGTCTGCAGGCCAGAAGAGGGCACCAGACCCCATTACAGATGGTTGTGAGCCACCATGTGGTTGCCGGGAATTGAACTCAGGACCTTTGGAAGAGCAGGCAATGCTCTTAACTACTGAGCCATCTCTCCAGCCCTGGATTTTTAAATTTTGAGACACAGTCTCACTAAGTTGCCCAGGCTGGCTGTTAATTCAAGCTGTAGCCAAGGAAGGCCTTTAACTTGAACTTGGGAACCTCCTGCCTCACCTCCAGAATAGCTGGAATTACAGGCATGAGCAATCAGGTCTGGTTCTTTTTACTTTTTCAGAGAAGAGACACCATCACCATGGCAACTTTTTTATTTTTTTATTTTTATTTTTTTCGAGACAGGGTTTCTCTGTAGCTTTGGAGCATGTCCTGGAACTAGCTCTTGTAGACCAGGCTGGCCTGGAATTCACAGAGATCCGCTTCCCTCTGCCTCCCAAGTACTAGGATTAAAGGCGTGTGCCACCACTACCTGGCTGATCATGGCAACTCCTAAAAAAATTTTAATTGGGGGGGGTTGCTTACAGTTTCAGAGTCCTTTATCATCATGATGGGGTGCATGGCTGCAGGCTGGCAGACGTGATGCTGGAGTAGCTGAGAGTCCTACATCTTGTAGGCAACAGGAAGTCGACTGTCACACTGGGCGGTATCCTGAGCATAGGGAATCTTAAAGCCCACCCCTGCGGTGACACACTTTCTCCAATGAGGCCACACCCACTCCAACAAAGCCACACCTCCTAATAGTGCCACTTCCTATGAGATTATGGGGGTCAATTACATTCAATCTACCTCAGTGGCACATGCCTTTAATCCCAGCACTTGGGCAGCAGAGGCTGGTGGATCTCTGTGAGCTCAAGGCCAGCCTGGTCTACAAAGCAAGCTCTAGGATAGCAAGGCTGTTACACAGAGAAATCCTGTCTTAAAAAACATACAAACATGCAAAAAAGGTATGTTTTTATTACTGTTTTTGAAGATTTACTTGTTCTATATCATATGTGTGACTTTTGTTTCCGTGTGTATGTCCACATGTCTAGCGCTTGAGGAAGTCAGAGGAGAGTGTTGGATCACCTAGAACTGGAGTTATGGACAGTTGTGAACTGTCATGTGGCTTCTGGGAACTAAACCTGGAGCCTCCATAAAAGCAGCAAGTGCTCTTAACCCCTGAGCCGTCTCTCTTGGCTTCTTTTTATTATTCTTAAGTGTGTGTGTGGTGTGTATGTGGTATGTGTGTGTGAATCTGTGGTGTGTGTATGTGTGTGTGTGTGTGTGTGTGTGTGTGTGTGTGTATGTGTGTGTGTGTGTGAGTGTAGTGCCTTTTGAGGTCAGAGGCATGGTATCCCCTGGAGCTGGAGTTCCAGGCATCTATAAGAACCACCTAATGTGGGTGCTGTGAACCCTGGTCTCTGCAGGAGCAACACGTGTTCTTAACTGCTGAGTCACTTGTTTTGCGATGTGTTCCTCCCACCTCACCTTCAGGCTAAAGCCAATTTAGACTTAGATGTTATCTTTACATTCTGCGTGCACAGGCCAGGACCAAGAGCTTCTCATTCAGCAACTGGAGATGATGCTTAGGAACTGAATGTCAAGCTGGAGAGATGGCTCAGTGATCGGGAGCACTGGCTGTTCTTCCAGTGTGACAGCTGATAACTGTGGGTAACTCCAGGGGATCCAACACCTTCACACAGACATATGTGCAGGCAAAATACAAATGCACATGAGATAAAAATAAATTAATTAAAAAGGAGAGAAGGAAAGAGAGAGAGAGAGAGAGAGAGAGAGAGAGGAAAAGCAAGCTGACTGTCTCTACCATTGTATACCTTCTAAGAATGGCCTTGCTTTAGAAACAAACAGCAGGGTATACTATGTTTCAGTGAGAATCAGAACCCTTGTACCCCCCTGGGAGGAGTATAAGACAAAGCAAAAAAGCCTCAAAAGCCTGCTATTGAATGTAGAATTACCAAGCCACCAGTACCAAAACTGGTCCTGCTCCTATAGGAAATATTTTTAAACACAGTCGCTTATACATCAGAAGGTTCTCACAGTTAGTTCTACAGGGTGCAGACACAAGACAGACGAGTCAGTCAGTTGTACTCTGGTGAGGGCATTGTCTCTCAGCTGCTGCCCTCGCCCTTTTCTTTCTGTTTTCCCATCCTCCAACCCTCCCTCCCCTTCTTCCTCCTTTTTATTTGGGGGGAGGGGGAGCTTAGGGGTGTTGGTGAGTCTGTTGATTTCAGCCAGGGCCTCACAAATGCCAGGCAAGCATCTTACTGAGATGTATTTCCAGCTCTTCAGACTTAGAGTGAGATTGTAGAACTGTGTTTTACAGTCTGTCTTCTGAGCACAGGGAGATGTGGCTATCCCAAACTGAAACTTGTTATACGTGTGAAATTTACACTGGGTTTAAAAGCTTGGGTGTGAACCAAAGGATGTACAATATTTCATCACCATTTTTATTAAGATTGTTTTTTCTTTTTTATTAAGATTTATTTATTTTATATGTACGGGTGTTTTTGCTTGCATGTCTGTCTGAGCACTACACCTGAATATTGTCTGTGGAGGCCAGGAGAGGGCATCAGATCCCCTGGAGCTGGAGGGAAGGTTGTGAACCCCAACATGGGTTCTGGGGATCAAACCCAGGTCATACGGAAGAGCAGCCTGTGCTTTCATTGCTGAGCCATCTCTCCAGTCCCTGGTTTATTTATTTATTTACTTATTTGTTTGCCTAAATTCAACTAATCCAATTCACAGTCCTCCAGCCTCAACTTCCCCTGAAATTGGGATATGGGTATAGGCTACCTTGCTAAACTAATGATATTTTAATAGTGATTACATATTCAGGCAATAATATTTATATTATATTACATTAGATAAAACATTATTATTATTTTTTAAACAGTCGAGTGCCTCCTAGGGACATAATAGGTTTAAGCACAAATAAAATTTACAAGCTAAATACAATTTTCTTTCCTTTTTTTTTTTTTTGGAGTACAGGTTGGGGGGCAGGGTGGGAGATGGTGTGGTGGGTGGCAGAGTTTCTTATCGCCCAGGCTCCTCATGTGCCTGAATCTATCCTTGAACTCCCGATCCTCCTGCCTCAGACCTAGTGCTGCACCACCACGCCCAGTCAAACAATCTTATTTCTTTTCTTTTCTTTTTTTTTTTTTTTTTGGTTTTTCGAGACAGGGTTTCTCTGTAGCTTTGGAGCCTGTCCTGGAACTCCCTTTGTAGACCAGGCTGGCCTCGAACTCACAGAGATCTGCCTGCCTCTGCCTCCTAAGTGCTGGGATTAAAGGCGTGCGCCACCACCGCCCGGCTAAACAATCTTATTTCAAAGCTGGGAAGAAGCATACAAACTTGATTTTCTTCGAAGGATAGGTTTTGATTGGGATGAGACAACTGACATTGTGACTTAGAGGCCGTGCAAGAAAGAGTGCTGTCCTCGTGCGGAAAGCAAGGGTTACCGGCTCTTTGAATCAGGCGAGGAGTTTTGGAACTTTTCATAGATCAAAGTATTCATGTTCTTCTCCCTCCAGATACTGTGAATTGACCCCAGGCTTTGATGCTAGGCCAGGGTTCAACCACTGAGCTGCACTACCTCGAGTCTTGACAGTGCTGCTTACAGTTGCTCCTATGACCCAAAGAGACAAGGAGCCCCCAACTTGGACTTTAAGATGGTCTGTCTTTACCCCCACTGCGCGTCTTCAATTTAAAAACTGCAGAACTCGGGAGCTGGAGAGATGGCTCAGCGGTTAAGAGCATTGCCTGCTCTTCCAAAGGTCCTGAGTTCAATTCCCAGCAACCACATGGTGGCTTACAACCATCTATAATGAGGTCTGGTGTTCTCTTCTGGCCTGAAGGCAGACACACAGACAAAACATTGTATACATAATAAATAAATAAATAAGTAAAAAACAAAAAAAACCCCAAAACTGCAGAACTTGCACAAGATGCATGGACACATTCACCACGCTTTGCAAAGGACACGCTTGGAACAAGCATTCTTTATGTTTTTACTTACTATTCATCTCCCTTCCAGATCAGCAACGTCTTGTTTTTCATTTTACCACCCATCTGCATGTGCCTGTTCCGCCAGTATGCGAAGTGCTTCAACAGCGGCATCTACTTAATATGGACTCTCCTCGTTGTAGTGGGTAAGTGAAGTCATGTGGGAGCGGGAACTGAAAGGGAGGAAGTGGGACCCCGAATGTTTCCTGTCCCTTTTGAACATAATGTTTTGTAAACCAAAGTCACTCTGACGTCTTAGCCATTGCTCCGCTGATGCCAAAAGGACTCGGCTTGATAACAAGGCTGCCCATAGCGATCACAGACGGGCACTCAGCGTCTGTGAGCAGCCACTGGTGGCGTGCCAGGGTGGTTTTCTGAGAACTTCTGAAGAACCCCTGAAACAATTGAAGTCTGATGAGATGTGGTTCCAAGAGACTTAAAGAAAGAAAAATATTTAGACGTTAGGTCCCTCATTGTTCTGTGAAATATTTGTGTGATTTCCATTTCCTCTCCGGCAGTTTGGGAATTCTTTTTTTTTTTTTTTTGGATGTTTGGGAATTCTTAACAGGGAGATAACGTTGACTTTTATTTACTGCCTGTTATCGTGAAGGTTCAGAGGATGGAGACAGAGTGTGCTTGGCCGTGGAATTCTTTCTGTTGTGATGTGCTGACGTTTGAGCCCAGCTTGAAACCTCCTTTCTAGCCTCCAGGCCTGTAAGCCTGACCTCTTGAGTCCCCTCCCCAAGAGGTAGAGCACTCTGGTGGTTCTGATGGCACCCGGAGAAGGGTTGTCTGTGTGAGTCTGTTCTGAATTACTTTTTGTTGGCCATGATCGTTTCTAGGAATTGGATCTGTCTACTTCCATGCAACTCTCAGTTTCCTGGGTCAGATGCTTGATGAACTTGCCATCCTTTGGGTTCTGATGTGTGCTTTGGCCATGTGGTTTCCCAAGAGGTATTTACCAAAGATCTTTCGGAATGACAGGTAAGCTTGTGCTAAAGACTTTGTTTTTGCTAGATGTGGTTACCAATGCAACACGCTCATCAAGTTAGCAAAGTAACACACTCAAGTTAACCAATGTAACACGCTCATCAAGTTAGCAAAGTAACACACTCAAGTTAGCAATATAGTACGCTCATCAAGTTAGCATTGTAGTATGCTCATCAAATGAGCAATGTAGTACGCTCATCAAGTTAGCAATGTAATCACTTAAGTTAGCAATGTAGTACACTCATCAAGTTAGCAACATAATACGTTTATCAAGTTAGCATAGTAATACGCTAATCAAGTTAGCAATGTAACACACTCGTTTTAGCAATGTAATATGCTAATCAAGGTAGCTATGTAGCAGGCTCATCAAGTTAGCAATGTAACCACTCATCAAGTTAGCAATGTAACCACTCATCATCAAGTTAGCAATGTAACTGCTCATCAAGTTAGCAATGTAATACGCTAATCAAGTTAGCAATGTAACATACTTGAGTTAGCAATGTAAGACATTCATCAAGTTAGCAATGCAACATGCTCATCAAGCTAGCAATGTAACTGCTCATCAAGTTAGCAATGTAACCACTCATCAAGTTAGCAATGTAACCACTCATCAAGCAAATTGCTGCATGAGTGAACTCAGCTAGCAATGAGCTCATCATACACTTGCTTATTGTCCACGGAGTTTAATGATCAGACAATACAGTTGATGGATAAATGGGGAAAATATGAGCTCACAGATACAAGGAGAAATCCCTGGGGAAGAGCTGATATTATGGTAGAGGCATAAAGCCAGAGATCTGATTTCTGTGATCTGAGCAAGAATGAAGCCACTCTCAGTGGAAGAGAAAATTTTGGGTGGTATTTCAAAGCCCCTTGGTTCCTTCCTAGATTATGTCCTCCTCGAGTGCAGTCCGATCCACCAACTTCATACACATGAAGGAGGTTCATGCTCTGGTTTTGCTGTTGCAGGTATAGAGCTAGTTTTGGATTGGATCATATTTTATTTTGCTTTTTATAACACATACAGATACATTCTAGTGCTCTCTCTCTCTCTCTCTCTCTGTGTGTGTGTGTGTGTGAGAGAGAGAGAGAGAGAGAGAGACGGGTGTGTGGTGTGTGAACAAGAGAGAGAGAGAGAGACAGACAGACAGAGAGACTTGGGGTATGTGTGTTTGTGAATGAGAGAGAGAGAGTGACTTGGGGTGTGGGTGTGTGTGTGTGTGTGTGTATGAATGAGAGAGAGAGAGAGAGAGAGAGAGAGAGAGAGAGAGAGAGAGAGAATGAGACAGTGTATGGAAACCCAGAACTTCAGGAAGGGATGCATTTCAGCATCCATTGTGTTAGGATTAGATGGTTATTAAGCAAGCATTTTCGCACACTATTTTATACTGTGTGTTTCTCTCAGCCCTAAGATACAGCAGTAAACAGAGCATGAGTCTCTTCCTCTAGTGCACCTCCACTGAAGCTGGGACGAGTGCACAGGCACACACAGATGACAGTGTGATGGGTGCCGTGGTGGGAACGGAGCTGGGCTGTGCCAGCGACATCCATGCTCATTTCCAGCTTGATCAGGGGAAGTCCATCTGAGAAGCTGCGAGAGGTTGTTCTCATTGGGAGGCACAGAGTCAATCAGCCTACTGAAGGGGAGAAATGTACCCAAACATGTTAAACACACATCTCTCTACAGGATATCCGATTCTGTCAAAATACATATAGCATAGAGATAACCACTTTAAAATTTTTGGAGTCAGTGAAGCAAGCTCTGCCTGGCTAGGGAAGAGTTTATCAGAGCAATAAAACACGTAATGAAGACTCCTGTGCCGTGTTGGAAAGGGGCAGGAGCGATACAGCTCTTAAAGATTAACATTTGGGGGACTGGAGTGGTGGCCTGGTGGTCAAGGACATGGACTGCTCTTGCCAAGGACGCAAGGTTGACTCCCAGCACCCACATCAGGCAGTGCACAATTGCTTGTAACTCCAGCTCCAAGGGCATTCAACATCTCTGGCCTCTGTGAGCATCTGCACTCATGTGCATATAGCCATACATACAATTAAAAATAAAATAAAGAGAAAAAGGCGAAGATTGTTTTCTGAAGCGTCAGTGTGAGGAATGTTTGTGGAAATGCCTCAGAAAGCGCCTGGTACAGTTGTGTGTATACATGTAATATCCTATTTTAGGATCAATCAAGTAGAGTACATATATGCATATTTATATACATGTGTAAAACAAACATATATTCATTTTTTTAAAAAAATTAAAGATTAAAAAGAAAAAATTAGAGATGTATTTATTTTACTTTATGCATATGGGTATTTTGCCAATGTGTGTGTCTGTTGTTTGCTTTTGAGACAGGAACTTATGCATTCCTGGCTAAACTAAACTCACTAGGTAGATGAGCTGGGCATTGCACTCCTAATCTCCCTGCCTCTACAAAGAGGTAGAGAGAAAATGTTTCTTGTGAATTAATCTTTATCCTTTGAAGTAGGACTTGACTAGTATTATTTCTGAATATAATCTAACATTAGAAGTACCCTCAAGGAAGTAATTTATCAAAAAACCTGTGAGGAAGGGCAAGTTGGTAGACCTTTATCTTGTCTTCTAATCAGCAGAGAAATTATGCTCTAAGGCCCTCCCCTTCCTTCTTTCTTCCTGTCTCTGTCTGTCTGTTACGGGGCATTGAACACAGGTCCCTGCACACACTCTTACACTGAACTACATTCCCAGCCCCAGAAAGTGTGCTTTCCAATGTGCCCAGCTGCTGGGCCTGGTGGCACATGCCTTTAATCCCAGAATCCCAGTGCTTGGGAGACAGAGGCAGACAAATCTCTGAGTTTGAGGCCACCCTGGTCTACAAAGTGAGTTCCAGGACATTCAGTGTTACACAGAGAAACCCCGTCTTTAAAAAAAGCAAAAAACAACAAACAAAACAAACCAACAATGACAACAAAAAAACCAATGTTCCCAGGTTGCTGTGGTGTCCCCAGAGTGTCCTGTAAACTTGGTCTGTCTCAGGAGAGGCCCTGTAAGGGGAGGGACCAAGAACATGGGGCAATGTCACTTGCAGGTGAGGATACCAGCTCCTGGGATACCCATCAGACACCTTGGGCATTGCGCTCTGCAAGGCTTAGAGATTGACTGAATTGGAGCAACAAGGAAATGAAGAAATGACAGACACACAGACAGAAAAGCTGGGATCTGGTCCGTCATGGGCTCCAATGCACCAATGGTGGCGGCAATGTGGAGATTCAGTGCTTGTCTTTCATACCTCTGACTAGACAAGGCAGGGTTACTATATGCAGCTGAGGCAGGAGGCATGGTTAGTGTATACAGCTGAGGCAGGAGGCATGGTTAGTATATACACCTGAGGCAGGAGGCAGGGTTAGTATATACAGCTGAGGCAGGAGGCAGGGTTAGTATATACAGCTGAGGCAGGAGGCAGGGTTAGTATATACAGCTGAGGCAGGAGCAGGGTTAGTATATACAGCTGAGGCAGTGTTAGTATATACAACTGAGGTAGGGAGCAGTGTTAGCATATACAGCTGAGGCAGGAGGCAGGGTTAGTATATATAGCTGAGGCAGGAGGCAGGTTTAGTTAATCTTGGCAGGAGGTCTCTGGACAGGAGCAGTCTCAGGCTGTAAATAGAGAGGAGGAAACCATTGTGGACGTGTTCTGCACACAGTGTCAACATCCATACATGGACCGGGGAAGACTTTGCCATTTCCTAAGTTTGACCCAGAGAAGGCTTTTCCTTTCCTCTGAGTCTGAGGCACTGTGGTCCTTGACTTGACCATGCTCATGTCATCAACAGACATGCACTCACGACGTGAACAGCTCAGTACACTTTCTGGTGTGTGTTAGTTTCTGCATTAAGGAGCCACTTTCCCCTAAGAACTCCTCTTTCAGAGTTTGGGATCTGAGTGAGGCACTGAAGAAGGGAGAACAAGGATTTTCTCCAGTTGTAGCATTCTGTAGTCCTAGGTTGAAATGCTAAGCAAGGTTTGATTCTCTTAGCTATAGACGCCTGCCTCCCCCACCTTCAGTTCGTGCAGTAGAGTAGGGAGTGTTTACACGGGAGGAAAGGAAGCGGGGTGTTGGTGCTGGTAACTGAAACCTATCATCTTAATAATGAAAACACTGAGCAGCGACGTCGGGAACTCACACGGGACTATCGCAGCACGGTGCAGTATTGTTCTAGGGACGATGTGAGCCCTGAGCCTTGGGTGTGGGGAGAGTCATTTGGAGGCTGAGGACCACAAGTCCTTTCTGATGGGATGGGGTTGAATTCCTGCTGCTGGTGCTTAGGAACTGGGTGACCTGGCCTGCTATCTCCTAATCTGTAAACTCCCCCAGGGCTGAGATCACACACACACACACACCTACCTGCCTACCTAAGGGAATCAGAGAAAAATGAGAGATGTGTGTTAATGTAGTTTATTACAGAGCCCTTGTGTAGCGTTCATTGGGCTTTGAGCTTTTAGTCCTAGCATGGAAGATAATGCTGTCTATAGGAAGTTTTCATTATACCAATAGGATATAATTGCTAGGTTAGGAAAAGACAGGTTCTCATTATACTTAGAAATCCCAGGACTCTACAGAATATACACTCAACTACTGATGGCTATTAATAGCTTTAGGTATTTTTATTTTCAGACAAGGCGAGGAAAAAGGGTCATTACAGGCTGATGAAATGTCCTTCCCAAATAACCCCTTACATGTGGACTTATGAGTACCTTCTACAAAACCTACAGCCAGCCCTCATTTCGTAGCCCACCTAATTCTTAGAATCTTGAATGGCTAGGGTGCAGGCTAGGCCCTGCCTGTCTTAGTGTACATAAGGCTAGAAGTGTAAATTCTCTGGCCCTCAGTGCCTCTCTACAGAAACAACAGGCATGAGAGAGCTCTCTGAAGCCCTTCCCAGGCCAAGTGCTACAAGCACCACGACATAGCAAGGGCACTGGTTTAAGTAGGTGACGTTTCCGCCACTATCACTGAAACTACTGAGTCCTAACCTTATCTTATGGGACATCTCAGAAGTTTGCGGGCTTGGTCTTTATCATCTATAAATGATGGCAGGTTTTATCCTCCAGAAAGTCCATCTCACTTTGTGGGAGTACAGGTGACATTTCCAAGTACTAAATATAAAATCAGGACCAGTGGAGGTTGAAATCCTCCCCTTTAAGGGGCAGCTAATGGTAACCGTGACAGCATCCTCGTGAGCTAATGGTGAGGAAGTTGGGTTGCTAGATTTGGGTTTGGGGAATACAGAAGATGGGGTGCTAAGAGTTCCTGCACTGTGTGCTCTTGCATGATACTCTATGGGCTGACCAAGGTAGGGACTGCCTGCCATCAACAGTTTAGAACACACACTGTCAGGGCCCTCACGCCTGGAAATTTCTAGCTCTCTCATAGCTAGGGCCTGTGGCAACTCTTGCTTGGGTTTGCTGGGCTGGCTGACTTTCTGTTGGCCATGTGACCTCTGTTTACTTTGACGAGTTGCAAAATTGTGCGCGCGCACAGGATGTCCTCCTTGTCCAGTACATTCCTCCACTCCCTCTGGACCTATGTGGGGAGGTGTCTGCCACTGCCTCCTCAGGCATGTGCCTTTAAACTATTTGGCAGTATTAAACGGAACCTTTGGGGATTGTAATGGCTGTCCGGCCTGCTCGCCTTCAGGAGATATCATCAACGAGAATATTTTTTTTTTCCTGTTGTTTGCTTTGTTCTGTTTTATTTTGAGACATGATCACACTCTTAGTCTAGCTGGCCTCAACTCATAGTAATCCTCCTGCCTCTACTTCCCAAGTGCTGGGATTACAGATATGAACCCCAATAGCCAGCTCAACAGTAGTGATATTATGAGCATAGCATTAACTCTTACACAGCTGGTGGTAGTGGGTCTTATTGGCACAGCACCTCACCTGGACCCTATATTAAGTGCTGAAAGGCTCCTAAGAATGCCATGGGTGTTAGCTGTTCAGTTTCAAGTTGGAAAAGCTCGAGGCATTAAGCTTCTTGCAGAGGGCCCACAGCCACTGCACAGTGAGGCTGAATTTGTGAGTACATCTGCCCCATCAGAAACATCGGTGCTTTCAAACATTGTGTTCCTCTTTCCAACTTGTGCTTGAATCCTAAACCACTGGGTACGGGAGGCGACATACTTTGCAAATTTGCTTTCTTTCCTCACCTCTTCCCTCCTGTCCCCTCTCATTCTCTTTCATTTTTTATTTCAAACAAGGTCTCCTGTGTCCCACACTGGCTCCAAGCTTGCTAGCCGAGGCTGACTTTGACATTCTAATTATCACAAATACGCATGACTACGTTTAGCTTTTGAGATGCAAGGATGAGCCCCAAGCGCTTCATGTATTCTAGGGAAGAACTATGCTAACAGTTATATCTCCAGCTTCTGAGCCTCTGGTTACATTTCCAATTGAAGAGGAGAGGGTATAAAATAATTCATAGAGCTGGGTGGTGGTGGAGCATGCCTTTAATCCCAGCACTTGGGAGTCAGAGGCAGGCAGATCTCTGTGAGTATGAGGCCAGCCTGGTCTACAAAGCAAGGTCTCAGGGCAGCCAGGACTGTTACACAGAGAAACCCTGTCACAAAAGCAAAACAAAACAAAAACCAAAAAACAAAACAAAAACAAACAAAACAAGAACAAACTCATAGACAGAAAAACTGGCAATGAAAACTGAAGGGTAGAACAATGTACAGCTCTGGGGTACGATGAGCCGGTAAGGAAACACTTGCACTTGTCCTGTGACCAAGACAGGAGGGAGAAGGAACAGAGAGAGAAGAGCAAAAGGCCTTAGCCTAGGTGTGTCAGAAGCAGGGAGAGCTGCCCAGTGCCCCAGAGATCATCCATGTGCTCGGTTCTGGTCGGGCTGGCCTCAGGCTGGACAGGCAGCTTTGCTTCCGGTAGCTGAAGAGCTCTGGCCTGTCAGGAAGAAAACACGAGTCTCCTGAGCATTTGAGGCCTGCTTCCTCTCACATGTGCTGGTTCCCCTCCGGTTCAGGGTTACAAAGCCCGTTCATTCCAGGCAGAGGGTTGGCAGCTTGATCAATGATTTCCTGCGCCTCAATGAGAAATGCTTTTCCTCTTTAGAAGATAAATTTGTGTTTCGAGGGGTTGATGGTCTTTGATTTCTTTATAACAGAACTTCATTCCAATCAGTTTCCTAACTGTGACCTATTCTGGGGCTCTTGGCCAAAACAAATTCTGCTAAAGACAAAGAACAGAAACTACAGGAAAATGGTGCTCCTTAGTTTAAGTCATGGATAAGGCTCTATAGATCAGGAAACAGGGTCCCGGGAGGGAAGAAGTGTGTCCAGGATCACGTCGCCACTTCTGGCTGACTCCACTTCCCTGCAGGCTGTGAGGAGAGTGTCAGGGATCTGTCATGTTTAAAAACTTGTCAAGACAGACTTCCAGTTCACGCTAGACATACAGGCTGCCAGGAAATACTCAGCCTATTTGATTCTTGCCCCCACCCCCCCGCCCAACTTTTAGTTTTGTAGGTTGGGCACACAGGATTTGTTTTCTTTTCAAGTACTGATGCTTATGCTTTATTAATGGTCTCTGATTGTCTCATAAAATCATGCATGATGACCTGGTAGAACAGGGCTTGGCAAGGTTCAGGGCTAAATGGGTTCTGTGAAGTTTTATCAGCACGTCTTACACATTCCTGATCTTATCTGTACAAAGGCAGAGTTGAGTAGCTGTGGCAAAGAGCTCAGGGTTTGCAAATGTTCTCACCCTTTACAGATTTTTTTCTTTTTATCCAAGAAAGGGTCTTTTTTTTTTTGTTTAAATTTATTTTATGGGTCTTGGTGTGAAGGTGTCAGATCCCTTGGAACTGGAGTTACAGACAATTGTGAGCTGCCATGTGGGTGCTGGGAGTTGAACCCAGGTCCTCTGGAAGAGCAACCAGTGCTCTTAGCTACTGAACTAGTTCTCCAGCCCTGAGATAGGGCCTTAAAACATGTCATGTAGCTGAGACTGGTCTTGAACCCCTGATCTTCCTGTCTCTCCCTTCCAAGTGCTGGAATTACAGTCCTATGCCATTTTGTCCGGTTTATAGGAAAAAGTTTGGTCAAGTCCTGTAGATGAACATCTGAAGAAACCCAGTTAAGGAAAGGGAACTCATTGTCCGTGTCTCTTCCAGAGAGTTAGGTTGATTGTGGCTTAACCATTTTCACAGCTAAATGTTTTCAAACTCTTCGATTTCCCAACAATCAGCTCCTGGAAGGAGGGTGGATGGCCTTTAGGTCTGGTTCATCTATGACCCAATAATACTTAGTATAAGACATAGTTCTCAACCCTATAGGTCATGACCCCCTTAGGGTCACAGCTCAGATACTTACATTATGATTCATACATAACAGTAGCAAAATTACAGTTATGAAGTAGCAACGACAATAATATTATGGATTGTGGTCACCACAGCGTGAGGAACTGTCTTAAAGAGTCACAGCATCAGGAAGGTTGAGAACCTCTGGTGTCGAGTTCTTAGCTTGCACAAATATGCCGGCTGCACCTTGCCAACAGTAACAAGTGATGGGAGAAGACTTGCCCAGCGTCCACAAGGCCCTGGGCTCAGTCCTCAGCTTGGGGTTGGGGAGCATGATGAGTAAATAAGCAAGATCTCCTTTGCTAACGGATTTGGTTTTGATTCCACTGATTCAGGGGCAGGTTCAAGGTGGCCGTGTGTGTCCTGTCTGTAGTTGCAACATGCCTGGCATTTGTCAAGCCTGCCGTCAACAATATCTCTCTAATGACTCTAGGGATCCCATGCACTGCCCTGCTCATTACGGAACTGAAGAGGTGAGTGCCATCCTTCCTGTCTTTAGTTGCCTGGGTAACCACTTTATTCTGGGAAGTTGTAGATGAAGACTTCAGGTTCATAATTGAAGGTTCTTTTATTTTTAAAAATACATCTTTACATTTATCTATTTTATTTTGTGCATATGTGTATATGTCTGAATGTATGTATCGCACCATGCACATGTACCAGGAGTCCTCTGAGGTCAGAAGAGTAGTCCAATTCCCAGAACTGAAGCCACACATGATATGAGCTGCCTGACCTGTGTGCGGAGACCAGATCTGGGTCTTCTGTGAGAGCAGAGTGCTCTTAACTTCGAAGCCATTGAAGCCATCCCTCCAGTCCTTCCAGAAACATGTTATGTGTGCTGGAGAGATGGCTCAATGGTTAAGAGCACTTGTTGCTCTTCCAGGGATCCTTGGTTTCATTCCCAGCATCTCCACGGCAGCTCCCAAGCATCTGCCACCCTCTTCTGACCTCTGCAGGCGCTGGTCATGCACCAGGTATGCACGTGGTGCACATACGTTCAGGTGAAACATTCATACACACAAAAGAAAAAGAATGAAAACGTATTTTATTTTAGGTCTTGGGTGTGGTCTTCTAGCCACAAAATACATATAATCACTGATATGATTTTAAGATTTGATGAAAACTTTGTTCTTGCTGTAGTTACCTTTAAAATGTATTTGAATCCATACTTTCTCTTATTATGAGCACTAAAGGTCTTGGTTTTTTGAAACCAGCTCTTGTTGTGTAGTCAAGACTGGCCAGGCTGGGACTAACTCATACTGATCTTCCCATCACAGCTTCCTTAGTGCTGGGATTATGAATGTGATATATCATGCCCATGAGTGAGTTTTTAAAAACAACAATAGAGGGGCTGGAGAGATGGTTCAGAGATTAAGAGCATTGCCTGCTCTTCCAAAGGTCCTGAGTTCAATTCCCAGCAATCGCATGGTGGCTCACAACCATCTGTAATGAGGTCTGGTGCCCTCTTCTGGCCTGCAGGCATACACACAGACAGAATATTATATACATAATAAATAAATAAATATTAGAAACAACAACAAAAGACTTTTATGTGTGTGGATGCTTTGTCGTGTGTGTGTGTGTGTGTGTGTGTGTGTACCACTTGTATGCCTGGCACTTGGAGAAGCCAGATTAAAGATGGTTGTGAGCCATCATGTGGATGCTGGGAGTTAATCCTGGGCTCCCTGGAAGAGCAGTCAGTGCTCTTAAACCCTTGAGCCATCTCTGCAACCTCCAAATGTTTTTATAAAAACTAATTTTTCTTACATTTGTTCTTTGATAATTTCATACATGTGTATAATATATTCTGGTTTCTCTCACCCTCCCAACCTTGTCAACACCTCTCATCCTCCTTACAAATCCATTTCTCACATTTTGTCTTTTTGGTTTGTAACCCACTGAGTTTAACCAGGGCTGACTTTATGAATATGGGTTTGGAGCAGTCTGGGAGCCCGACGGGCTCACCTATGAGTACACGCCTGAAGCCGACCACAGTTCTTCCCCCAGAACTCACCAGTTGCTAGTCGCTTATCAGGCAGGGACAGGGTTCCATGAACTGCCCTCTGATCAGTGACTGACAACTGATAGGCCCAACCGGTGTAGACCTAGTGAGAGCAGCAGCCAATGCTACTGTGTGATCATAGTTGTACCGGCTATGCCTGCTCAGAAGATGGCATTTTGCCGCCCTTCGTATATTCCAGTTCTTAGAGTCTTTCCACCTCCTCTTCCTCCATGTCTCCTGAGCATTGGAAGGGGTGACGTCGATGTCCTGTGTTGGGCTGAATAAGTGATGGCTCCCCTCTTCTTCCCCTAGTCTTCTTCCTTAAAGGGGGTATTTTTCATATTGCCCCTTTGTCCTTGTACACCAACCTTTAGTGGCTCCATATTTGCTGTCCCGCTTTCTCTGACCTTGCTTCCTTCCTTGTGCCTGGTGGACCAGCTCCTTACATTTTTTTTCCTCTTCAGCTCATACTTACTTGCACTTTGTCCTCCCAGTCAACGGCCCTTCCCCACCGCTGCTTTGCAAAGACCCAGCCTCCTATATCAGCTCCTTAGATGCCAGCTCCTTGGGGACTTCCTATCCCTCTCTTCTTCCTCAGTTAGCTTGGCATCTGTCTTCCCAGACTCCGTGCCTTTACATTAGGTTTAATGTGTGCTCCCATGAATATGGATAATTTTCTTCTTCTTTCTGGTATATTATTCAAAGGCAGAAATTATACCTATCTGTACATTTTCCAAGGTGTGTATTACCTCTGAAAATTCTCAAGTCTATGTTCACAAGGTAGCTCTATTTTATTTTAGATTCACACGATTGCTTGAGAATGCAGTAGAAAATGCTGGAAGAAACTTGGGTCCAGGAGCTAGACAGCACTAAGTTGGGAGCTTGGCTTTGCCTTCCAGTAGCTCAGAAATTCAGGGCATTTTCTTCACTTCCTTGAGTCTTTCATAATAAGATTAAGGTCTATTTAAAAAAAAAATCGAGGGCTGAAGAGATAGTTCAGTGGGTAAGAGCACTGGTTGCTCTTCCAGAGGACCCCGGTTCAAGTCCTAGCACCCACATGGCAGCTTCCAACTGTCTGTAATTCTAGTTCCAGAGGATTCGGCACCCTTATGCAGATATACATGCCGGCAAAACATAAAATAAATAAATCATTAAAAAATGAATAAACAAAGCTGGGGGCCCTGGCAACACGTAGGAAGCTGAGACAGAGCTGCCAGCTCAGAGAGAATTTGTCCCAACAAATAAGGTGGCAAACTAAACAACACAGTGTATGTCTTTTGATCTTCCAGTGAGCGTAAATAAGTTGTATCTAGTGCAGAATCTATCTGATGGTGGCTAGTCAAGAAATACTAGTTGTGGCTGTATATAGTAATGCTTGCCTTTAATCCTAGCACTTGGAGGTAGCCTCAGGGTTGAGGCAGGCAGATCTCTGTGAGCTTAAGGCCAGCCTGATCTACACTAGGCCAGCCAGGGTTACACAGGGAGACTGTCTCGAAGCAAAACTAAACAAAAAAGGAATACTAGTTGTATTATTTAGTTTTCTGCTGCTCTGCTCAAACACCATTACCACAGAAACTTCTAGAAGGGTGAGTTGATTTGGGCTTGCAATTCTGGAGTGATGATGGGTCCATCGTGGTAGAGAAGCATGCCAGTAAGTGGCAGGCATGCCGGCAGGTAAGTGGCAGGCATGCCGGCAGGAGCCAGGAAGCAGAGAGCCCACCACAGACTCTACAGCAAATGTGGAGCTGGAGGCAGAAAGGGGAGAGGCTATGTTATATACTCTCAGAGCTCTAGAAAGGCCCCACCTTCTCAACAGCGCCACCAACTGGGCACTAAGGGTTCAAATGCCTGAGCTTACGGGGCCGGTTTCATTCAAACCACATCAGCTGCCTTCCATAAGTCCTTAAGTTTGAACAAGGACTCCTAGCAATAGAAAGAGAGACAAACAATACCTCCTGCCGTTTTAGCTTCTCTTGTATGGACCCTTCCTTTCCTATCGAGGGGTCCTCCCTGTGTTCTTGACTGGAGATGCCCACAGAATAGCCTTTTTCATTATTTGTGGCCTGAAGATCTTGGTGCCTGAGGTTTGGGGCCTGCTTTCAACTTCATCTATCCAAGCCTGGATACTAACAGATATTAAAGGTCTGTGGAAGACATGTGACTAAGTAGCTGTTGAAGATATCTGAAATACATGATATTTGGGGCATTCAGTCCATTGGTGCTGGCTTCTTTTTGGCCTGAAGTGAGTAGAGTATTCTAGATTTAAATGTTTTTATTGTTGTTGTTTGTTTTGTTTTTTTGTATTTGTTTTTGTTTTGTTTTGAGATAGGGTCTTCCTGTGTAGCCCAGACTGTCCTGAAACTCACTATATAAACCAGGCTGGCCTTGAACTCAGAGATCTGCCTGCCTTGGGCTCCTGGAATTAAACACCTGCACCACCACACTGGGTTTGTGATGTCTTTCTTATCTATAGTGTCTTTTTTTATTTATTTTTTCCCATTTATTTATTTATTAAAGATTTGTGTCTCTTCCCCGCCACCTCCTCCCATTTCCCTCCCCCTCCCCCAATCAAGTTCCCCTCCCTTGTCAGCCCATAGAGCTATCAGGGTTCCCTGCCCTGTGGGAAGTCCAAGGACCACCCACCTCCATCCAGGTCTAGTAAGGTGAACATCCAAACAGCCTAGGCTCCCACAAAGCCAGTACGTGCAGTAGGATCAAAAACCTACTGCCATTGTTCTTGAGGTTTTTTTTGTTTTTGTTTTTTTTTTTAAATCTATTAGCTGCTTTCCTGACTTCTGTAATTGCAGAAGTCACCGGAGTGGAGAGTTACCTGTCTCTCTCATGCATCGTCTTCTCTGTGTTTCCTGTTGTGCTAAATAGGGATACTATGTGTTCAGATGCCCAAGCCGGAAGCTGTTTTCCGGACCATCTCCTCTGGTCTTGCTCATTGTTCTACTCATTAGCATGGCAATGTGGATAAAATTCAGTCTTTCACATACATCTCTGCTGCCCCCATGAGTTGAACACCCCCGCAACACACACACACACACACACACACACACACACACACACACACACACACGGTAGAGGCAGGTGGATCTCTGTGAGTTTGAAAACAGCCTGGTCTACAGAGTAAGTTCCAGGACTGGCTCCATAGCTACTGGGAAACCCTGTGTCAAAAAACCAAAGGGGGGAAAAGATTCCCAGGAAAAGGGGCTCTCTTGGTGCTCTTGGCACTCTTTGCATTTCTTGCCAGCATCTCCCCTGTTTGTTTTCATAAGGCATGGCATGTCCACACCAGTTTTTCTCATTGTGCCTTGCTTTTCCCCGGGGGCCAAAGAGGAAAGTCTGCCTATTATCGCCTTGCTTCTCTCTAGCCTTCCTTCCTGAAGTGTGTCTATTAGAGCTTCAGTGTTCATTCTGAACCTTCTCTCACCAGGAGAAAACGAAAGCTTATTCTGATTCAGGGTCATGACCATCTGATATCGTTGAACTTTGGGATGTTTCAATCACGCTACTAGGAGATTCTCTTGTATTTAAAATACTTTAAAAACAACTTTTCCTTGGGGCTGGAGAGATGGCTCCATGGTTTAGAGCACTTAGAAGTTTTGGGCCGCTATTATACCAACATATCTTGCAGGCGGGAAAGTCACTCTTGTAGATCAAAGGGTTTGTAACTGTTTGGTATTTATCCCTCTCCTTTGGTAGCATGAGGACTACCTTCTAGTACTGTGAATACTCACCCATGGGGTGAAGGCTCTAGATAGGCACCAGCTTGAATTCCCAGTGTTCTGTGAGTTGAGTATGTGCTGTCTTCACTATCCAGGGCCTTACTATCAGTGTGTTGCGAGCTAAGACAACTCATAGAAGGAAGAGATTCTTCCGGCTCACACTTCCAGAGGCACAAGAGTCCATCACCATCATGGCGGTGGGGGGGGGGGGGGGCGAACATGGTGGCAAGCTGGTAGCTCCTGTCTTAAACAGCAAACAGGAAGCAGTGAGAGCAAACTCAAAATGGCGTGAGTCTTTAAACTCTCAAAGCCCGCCTCCAGTAATGTACTTCCTGTGATAAGGCGGACAGCGCCACCCACTGGGAACTGAGGATTCATTCAATGAAAAGGTGTCTCTAACCACACAGGCTGCCTGAGCAGACACTTGAAGACAGAACCCGGGCAGAGGCAAAGCAAGCAGGAAGGTTGTAGAGGTTCATGCTAAGCCCCAGAGTGTTTGAGGAACATCATAGTTTAAGCAAAGTTAGAGTGTGAGACCCATAGGGGGAAAAGGAAGGGGAGCCCACGCATGGGCACGGGCCTTGGCCACTGTGAATGCTCTCTCTCATTAGGGCCCTGGAGCAGAACATTGTCAGCTGACTACAAGGACAAAGGTGACAGTAGGTTAGAGAGGAGGAGATGATGGGGGCCTGGACCCACGCAGTAAGAGGACAGATTTGGGGTGGATTCTGAAAGAAGGGCTAAGAAACCGGATGTGGGGTCTGTGGGCAGGAGGAAAGACTAGTTGATCTTGTATCTGTGTTAGACATCAGGCTACCCTGTCAAGACGGTGGGTTCTCTGCATCTGGAGTCGGAGCCAGGACTGGTGGGAAATAAGGTTGTGTGAGCCCGTGTGTACCTGTGTTATTTACATCTGTGGCTATGTTCGGTAAGACGCCAATGCCAAGGGCTGGAGCGGAACACAAGTTGTGGAGATACAGAAGCGGTAGGTAGCCAGCAGACCCTACGGCCACCAGAACTGACCCTCTCCCTCTGCCTTGCAGGTGTGACAATGTCCGTGTGTTTAAGCTGGGCCTCTTCTCCGGCCTCTGGTGGGCCCTTGCCCTCTTCTGCTGGATCAGTGACCGAGTCTTCTGTGAGCTGCTATCCTCTGTGCACTTTCCGTACCTGCACTGCGTGTGGTGAGCACCTGCCCTGGGGTGGTGGCATTGACACTGGGTGTCCCCGCTTGCTGCTGCTGGGCGGGGTGCTCCCCGGCCGGGTGCACAGGTGGGCTCAAGGGAGGGGCGTAGAGCCAAGCATTCTCCTTTCTCCTGTCAGACATTTTAGAAACAAAGTAAGGTAGAGTGTGAAAATGGCTCCAGGGAGCTGGTTTAGCCAGGGCGATCCCTGCCCCCCAACCTAATTGTTATGCTGCTCGGCGAATTGGCAGCGTCTCCTGCCCGTTCCTTAATGAGTACCAGGGAGCCTGAAAGGTGGCCCTGCAACCTGAGCCCCAAGGTCTGGATGGGGGTGGGGGAGGGGGAGTTGGGGACTAAGTGCCGTGAGGACAGGACGGTCCCCAATAGGAACCACGCCTTCAGGGCCCATGTGACCAATGAGAGCTTGGCTCTCGCAGGTCGTCTAGGGACAGTCTCACCTGTTCTTTTTGTACAGCTCCAGAGAGAGCCTCGGGGACTGGAGTCTATTGTTGACCATCAGTCAGACCTTTTGATGATAAGGAGCTAGAGCATCTATGTTTTGGGGAGCCTGGGAATGAATCTAAAGGTCAAAGAAAAGAAAATGGAGGTTACCAAATTACACACAGACCCACACTGAGGAAGGGGGGGGAGGCAGTGGAGGAGTGGGGGTGGAGGGAGGCGTAGCTCAGTGGTAGAGTGCCTGCCTGGCATGTACAAGCCCCTGGGTTCAAACTCCAGTGAAAAAGGAGGAAGCAGGGATGTGGAGTGGTTTTCTTCCTAGCAGCTGCTTCAGCTCCAAACCCAGAACAAGGCAGAGTCTCTGTCTTTGTCCTCATGACTGCTAAATACAAAAGGTGGCAGGGAACAATGGTTGTCGAATGTCCTGGAGATTAGAGCATCCAGGCAAAGTGCAATAGTGCATCCGTGTCCAGAGTCATCTTCAGAGGGGACATACTGAGTCCAGTGTGATCTGGGGATGGTGGCTCACACCTGCCCTCCATCTTCACAGGGGACATACTGAGTCCAGTGTGATCTGGGGATGGTGGTTCACACCTACCCTCCGTCTTCAGAGGGGACATACTGAGTCCAGTGTGATCTGGGGATGGTGGCTCACACCTACCCTCCATCTTCAGAGGGGACATACTGAGTCCAATGTGATCTGGGGATGGTGGCTCACACCTGCCTTCCATCTTCAGAGGATACTTACAGATCCCTGTGTGATCTGGGGATGGTGGCTCACACCTACCCTCCATCTTCAGAGGGGACATACTGAGTCCAGTGTGATCTGGGGATGGTGGCTCACACCTGCCTTCCATCTTCAGAGGATACATACAGATCCCTGTGTGATCTGGGGATGGTGGCTTATACTTGTCTTCCCAGCACCTGACAGGCTGAGGCAGGAAATTTGCCACAAGATCCAGGTTAGTATGGACTACATAAGGAGGTCCATCACATACACAGAATTGTGTGTGCGTGTGTGCATATGCACACATGCACGCTTATGCACAAAATTCCACAAAAGAGTTCTTTTTTTCTCCTTCATGCTAATGAAAAATGAGGAAGAAAAGAAATGAACCGCCAGGCATGGTGACACACACCTTTAATATTCAGAAGTAGAGTCAGCAGGCATCCGTGAATTCAAAGCCAGCTGGGTCTACATGGCGCCAATGTGGGCTGACTACATCCACATAAAACTCGAGAGAACTTTAAAAAGGAATTCTGGACACACACCCATAAAAAACGGAGTTTAGCACAGCTTCTTGGTAGCCTAATGTTTGAAGAATAAGAGTTTGTTTCCACTAAACCATCTCCCGAGCTCATGTCGTTTCTAATATTAGAAACTTTTGTAAATAATCTGTAAAAACATCTATATTGAGTCTAATCTTTATAGGTTAAATTACAAGATGGCAACACACTCTTATTTTTCCTTTAAAATAAGGACTTGGACCGGGGATGTGATTTAATGGGTACAGTGCTTGCCTAGCGCAAACAAAGCCCTGGATTTGATTCCCAGCACCACATAAACTGGGAATAGTGGCACAGGGTCAAAATCTTACTAGTCGGCAGACTGAGGCAGGAGGATGACAAGCAAGTGCAGCTTGGGTTACAGAGTGAGACATTATTTTTATTATTTTATCTATCTTTTTTCTTGTTGGTTTTGGTTTTCCAAGACAGGGTTTCTCTGTGTAGCCCTTGGCTGGCCTCGAACTCACTCCGTAGACCAGGCTGGCCTCGAACTCTCAGAGATCCACCTGCCTTTGCCTCCGAAGTTGTGAGATTAAAGGTGTGTGCCACCACCCCCTTGGCTTTTGTTTTGCTTTAAAATACGATCTCACTATGTAGTGCAAGTTGGCCTGGAGCTCTGTGCACACTAGTCAACAGAGAATTGGCCACCTTTGCTTCCTGAGTGCTGAGATCAAAGGCAGGCACTACCATGCCCTGCTGTTTAGTTCCTGTTTGAGACAGTCTTGTGTATTCCAGGTTGGCCTCAAATTCACTGTGCACTCTCAAGTGCTGGAGTTCAGGCTAGTGCCACCCTGTCAGGCTTGGTTTTGTTTCCGTGGGCAGTGCTAGGGGTCGTGGATGCCAGGCAAGTCTTCTGCTACATCTTCCCTGAGCAGCTCCGCTCCAGTCCTGCAATCACTTTCCTGAAGTCTCTTAGAGGGCCTCAGCCCACATGCTCACACCTGCAGGAGGTTATTAATTCTTAAATCTTTGCTAACCTGATAGGAAAAAAATTATCTTTAATTATTAATTAAATTTAATTTTAAATTATTAATTTATTACAAGCAATATTTATATTATTAATTTATAATTAATTATAAATATTAAATTATAAATTAAATTTAATTATTAATTAAATTATTAAAAATTATTTTTATTTTCATGTCTTTAAAGACAGTATCACTAGATGATTTTAAAATGTAACCTGAATGGTGGCTTTTGATTGTCATCAGTTGCGATCTTCCCAATTGGCCTGTTTCCCCTTTGAAAGCACGCCTTCTGATGTCTCCGTCTTCAGCCATTAACTGCCTGCGGTGACTATGTGCTGTTTGTTATGCATATTTAATTAATTACTCGTTAGTTAATAATTGTTGTGTTCTCACTATGTAGCTCTGGCTAGCCTGAACTTGCTGGTAGACCAGGCGGGTTTCAAACTCACAGAGATCTGCCTGCCTCTGCCTCCCAAGTGCTGGGATTAAAGGCCTGCGCCACTACCGCCCGGCTTTTGAAGAGGTTTTAAAAGCAGAAAGAACAATACCAGAGCCGCCATGTGCTCTGACTCCGGTTCCTGGCCATCGTTGGGGGCGGGTCATGTTTGTATCCCCTTCCCCACTCTTCATCCAACCCCATTTGAAAGCACAGCTCACACAGCGTTTATAATGATTGACATTTATAAAACGATTGACATTTTTAGTATTAGTTTTAGAGCTTTACTACGTTGGGCAAATATTTCCCCCAGTTTCCTATTTTGTTTTTAAAAGCACATTAATAGTCTTGCGCTGTCTTCATTTTGAATTCTGTTGTCACATGTCTGACTTTTCTCCTTGGTTTCCGGACTTTGTGTCCTTCTAAGGAAAGCCTCTTCCGTCAACGTCATGGGAGCACAGGTCCTTTGGACTATATATTAAAAGCATAGGGGCCGGAGAGATGGCTCAGTGCTTCTGAGCACTTGCTGCTCTTGAAAAGGGTCCTAGTTCAGTTCTAGTACCCAGGTTGAATGGCTTCCAACTACCTGTAATTCCAGTTCCAGGGGATCCCATGCCCCTTTGTGGCCTCTGCAGGTACCTGCACAGTTGGCCATACACTCACACAGGACACACATACAAACAAGTTAAAGCAAACCATTTTAAAATTGTATTTTAAATCTCTTCTTAGGTAATTAAACATTTTTACATTTACTTGTTAATTTGTGCTTGTATGTATATGTGTGTGGTTGTGTGCATGACACAGGCCATGTGTAGCGGTCAGAGGACCACTTTTGGGAGCCAGTCAGCTCTTTCCTTTTGCTATGTGGTTTCTGGGGTTTGAGCTCAGGCCATTAGACTTGGGACATCTCATGGGTCCATGTTTTAAATCTTTAATTCATTTGGGATTGAGTTTCAGTATAGGGTATAAGGAAGACTCTGTCTGCCTTTAAAAAATTATTTCCTGATAAAGATCAAAATTGAAGCTTTTGACAGGTAAAGATTTTTTTTTTAAGATTTCCCCAAAAAGCTGCAATCACACTTTAATGTAGGATGATTTCCGGTGAAAAACACAGACCGTACTTATTGCTAAGGTGGGAAAGTGGGGTTCAATTTGGGGTTCAAGCACTTCCGGTTTTACCCTTGGTCCTCAGTCTTACTGGGAAGACCCTAAAGATATTTGGTCCAATTATCAAATAGGATTTCTTTTTTTTGAGACAGTGTTTCTCTGTGCAGCTCTGGCTGTCCTGGAACTCGCTCTGTAGACCAGGCTGGCCTCGAACTCTCAGAGATGCACTTGCCTCTGCCTCCTGAGTGCTGGGATTAAAGGCACAGGCCACCACTGTGTAACCTTGAACTTGCGGCCGTCCTCTTGAGTTGGCCTCTATAGTGCCCGGGTTATGGGTCTGAGTTACCATGCCATTTCACGTGGGAATGTTTTGAAGTCTAGTGCTCAAGATTTATCGTAACCCTTCGGCCTACGCTGACTGTCTCGTCCTTTCCCTCTGGATGGAAGTGACAGCAGGGGAGGCGGGTGGCCCAGAGAGACACAGGTGTTGCAACTGCACTGTCTGAGCCTGTGCCAGGCTCACCGCTCTCCTCTTTTGTAGGCACATCTTCATCTGTCTTGCCGCATACCTGGGCTGCGTGTGCTTCGCCTACTTCGACGCTGCCTCAGAGATACCCGAGCAAGGTCCAGTCATCAGATTCTGGCCCAGTGAGAAATGGGCCTTTATCGGTATCCCCTACGTGTCCCTCCTGTGTGCCCGCAAGAAGTCACCAGTCAAGATCACATGATGGCAAGGCAGAGGCTGGCTTCTCGACTTATTTCTCTTCGTGCACTGGGCTTCATTTGCTGGCAAAACTAGCCACGGGGGTTGAAGAATCGGTGTGGGTGTATCTGTTTAAAATTCTGTTCCTCTGGACCACTGTGCCTGGGGAGGAGGTCCATCTTTTCCCTAGATGGGGGATGCAGGGCTCAGGGAGAGTAGGTGTGTCTTATTCAGCATCCTTTCTAGGCACGGGGGCTTGCTGGCCTGTCCATTTTGGCGGTGGCAGAGCAGTTCTTTGGGAGACCCAGGGCAACTTCTTGCTGGACAAGGTGGCTTGCTTGTGAGTACACAGGAGTCAGCTTCTCTGGTATATAAGACTTTCGGGTTTTGTGATGGAAGGTGCCGGAGCTTTTCACTGGCAGGGGAGAAATTGTCCTTTAACAAAACCAAGTGGACAGAACACAACAGGGGGCCTGTGACTGAGGGGGCAGGCTTGTCACTTGCGCCTCTCAGCCTTCCCAGGTTTTCCATGAGCTGTGGATCCTTCAACCACTACCTCGGCTGAGAGAGGGAGACTTGGTGTCAGAGGGCAAAGCAGTAACCCTCTGTGCCAAAACCTGCCCTCCGCTGTAAGCACACATTAAATACTGACACTGTTTCTGCTCTTCCTAAAGCTCAGTAGCCTTCCCTGGTGTGAAGACTCCACACACAGCCCCTCTGCTTACCCCTTGACCTCTGAGCACGCCAACAGCTCATTTCTGTCACCGAGGCAGCTCTGGTTTTGACTGGAGCGTGTGTGAAGCTTTGGGGGAAAGTTCTCACTGGAAGCTTCCAGGATGTTGTCACCTCCAAGACTCTGACCCTGTTCCTCTGCTGCTTCCCGGGAATGTGGGCCTCCTGCTTTTGTTCTCACGTTACCTGGTGCTAATTGGTTTCTCAGAGCACTTGTCTGTTTGTCTTTCTGTCTGTCACTACACCGTGATTAGCTGGTTGGGGGTCACAGGTGGGCAGGGGTCTTCAGGGCATGAGGTGGGATATCTCAGGGATGTTTGTAACTCAGGCACCTTCTCTTTTCTGACATTCCATTGTGGGGAGTCCGACAGTGCTAGGGGATCGGAGTCACGAGGCCACTGTTCTGAGCCATGAGCTCAGAAGCAGCTAGTCGGGTCTGGTACCTCAGGAACTTGTACTCTGGTTAGAATTTTCACAGGGTCTGTAATGGAAACTGAACTTAAGTTTTTACATGAACAGACTCCGTTTCACTTTTGTGGCTTTGAAGTTTTATAAGTCACTTGCTAGGTTATTTCTTGTTTATAGGAACACATCTTTATGGAAGTAAGTTGTCTTTTATTAAATTTATAGCATTCCCTGCATCTCCCAGGCAGCAAACACGCAAGTTATTTGATTGGGGGATTTCCAAGGCAGAAATATTTGGTTTTGAGTGTGTGTTCATGTGATCTTACTATATAGCTTAAAATATATTTAAAATGATTTTTGAGTTGAATGTTTGTGGCTACGTAAGGATTCAGAATTGCTGCTGAGCACTTTGGTTTTTGAGTCTAGAAATTTTCAGAGGGCAAAATCAAACCATCCTTGTTTCTGGCTTATCTTCCCAGGCACGTGATCTGCTCTTATCTATTCTACCCTGCACAAACGTCTTGAAGACACACCCAACTGCCCTACTCTGGAAGGGTTGGCTGGGGCTGGAGAGTTAGCTCAGCAGTTAAGAATACAGTGGGCAATGGTGGAACACACTTTTCATCCCAGCACTTGAGAGGCAGAGGTAGGCAGATCTCAGTGAGTTTGAGGCCAGCCTGGTCTACAAAGCGAGTTCTAGGACAGCCAGGGCTTTACACAAAGAAACTCTGTCTTGAAAAAAAAAAAGAAAAGGAAAGGAAAGAAAGAAGGATTACATATTGCTTTCCCAGAGGACTCAGAATTAATTCCCAGCATACACATGAAGCTCACACCCTGTGACTCCGGTCCCCTGGGATCCATGCATACAGGCAGGCAAACGTTTATGCACATAAAGGAATAAAATGAATAAACGAGAAAGTTGGCTGTAGGAGAGGGTTTCTAGACACAAGGTTTAATTTGTCCTGAGGGCGCTGCCGTGGCAGTGGTGTGGTCCTCAAAGTCAGGGAAGACTCGTTCCTTTTCACCAGGGAGAGAACTTACTGCTGACACCACTAGAAATGGGGATCTAGTACTGATAGAAATGCTTGAACATGATTGGGTGAAAGGAAACGAGCACCTGACTCAGGGGACAACTTCTCCAGGTCTGGCTTGGGATGGAGTGTGTTTGGGGCAGACACCTTTTTTTCTTTCTCGTCTGTCTGTGACAGAGCTTTCTCCTCTGTCTCAGGCTGGCTTCAATTTCATTATGTAGCCCAGGCTGGCCTCAAATTGATGATGAGCCCCCAGATGTAGCCTCTCAAGCGCTAGGCGTGATTATAGGAGTGAACAACCATACCCATCATAAACGGAGATCTATAGCTCGCTAGCAAGGGACTAGATATATATGAATCCGAATTTGAGCTGGGCTTTGGGCATCGTTCATATTCACGTTAAAGCTCCATGTGTTGAGAAAAAATTGGGATGCTATTGAAAAGCAGCAGAAAAAAAAAATTACCCACGCCACTATTGCCTTAGAGCATCCCTTGCCAATAGTTTGCCTTCTGGGTGTGTTTCCTTCCTGTCCTTTCTGTCCTACTACAGCTATAATTAGATGTCATTTAGACAATGTATCCTTGAATGGAGTACAAATGCCAGCATTTTCACGGAGAGTTGGCGTGGAGTACACTCGAGCTGGCTTCCTCTGGAAGGCTGATTGCTGGACTCTGAGCTCACTACTGGAACTGCCTTTTCCATGAAGCCTGACTGGAGTGGCCCCGGAGACACGGACTGATTTCAGCTTCCGATGCAACACTTCACGTTTGGATCTCCGTGTCATGGTCAACAGCTGTTAAAGATGCGACTTCATGGACTGTCGTGTGTTAAGAGTGGTAAAGACAGGCTGAGGCCACTGAGTCCAGAATCTTCTCCCTCCTGGCAGAGTTGGCACTGATGGGTGGGGTCATGACCACTGTCACCAGCATGGGTATCAGAGTATTCTGTCCCAAATCTGCCTGTGATCTCAGGACATAGAAAGCCAAATGTCACCAAGCGATCATCTCTGTCCATGATTTTACAGTTTTGATCCATGGTTGATTCTTAGGAGGAGAGCTCCTCTGTTTAGTGCTCCGTGATGCCAAAGCCAGCTCTTCAGTGGAGCTCTTAATGTCTGTATCCATTTGTAATGTGATCCATGTGGGGGAAGTGGGGGTCTCTCTGGTGAAAAGTGCCTAAAACAGTCATTGCAGGTCAGCAGTGTTGTGTTGAGGGACAAAGCTGGATGGTTGGGTTTCTCGGGTGACTAAAACCTCCCCCAGAAGTCATTTCCTTCCGACCGCACCCCGAGCCAGCACTGGGATTTGAACCTTCCCTGTTTTTTCCCTCAGGTCTGATGACTATCTCTGGGGTCCAGGCAAGGGCTGGGGCTTGGCCTGCCAAGCCCTCTCTCCCAGTTCCTTTCTCTAGCTGAGCTTGGATTCCTCCTAACCAGGGCTGGACCTAGGTGCTGTTGGTCCCAATGGCCAAGGACACATCTCCGGCCAGAGTGGGATTCTCATTAGATTTTATAGACATTATTTTCCCACGGTCTCTTAAATCACTCCAAAGGGCTTGTATCTTTTCCTACAATCAAGTCAGATCAAAAAGTATTTTTTTTTTTTTGTGGTTTTTCGAGACAGGGTTTCTCTGTGGTTTTGGAGCCTGTCCCGGAACTAGCTCTTGTAGACCAGGCTGGTCTCGAACTCACAGAGATCCGCCTGCCTCTGCCTCCCGAGTGCTGGGATTAAAGGCGTGCGCCACCACCGCCCGGCCTCAAAAACTATTTTATAACCACAATATGTAATCCAAGTAAGTAGAGTATTTTCAGATATATACTGTGTTTTATACTTTTATGGAGGATGTGCTGTATATGGGTGGTATGTACTCTGGCTGAGGTGACATTAATCATTGCTCTGGGGGAATTTATAGACCTTTTGCACTTTATGCTTGTGTGTGAGAGAGAACTCTGATGACCACTGTTAATATTAAAGCCATTAACTGGCATTTCCTGTGAATAAAAATGTATATGTATCTATTTCTGAGATGACTTCTTTCTTTAAACATTTTTATTATTATCTATGTGTGTATGTGTATATGTATGATGCGTGTATGAATGGCGGCCCTCACACGTGGAGATGAGTCTCTTCTGCCTTCATGCGGGTTCCAGGAGTCAAACTCAGGTTGCCAGGCTTGGGTGACAAATGCCTTTCTTTACCCGCTGAGTCATCCTGTTAATCCGTTTGTTTGCTTGTTCTCCCCGACTCCCATGTCGTTTAGACAGAATCTCATGAAGCCCGGCCTGGTCTTGAACTTACATACATATAGTTGAGGATGATCCTGAACTTCTGATCCTCCTGCCTCTGCCTCCCAATGGGACGACAGGGTGGTAGTTTGAATGAGAATGGTCTCCATAGGCACACATGTTTGAACACTTGGTCCCAGTTGGTGGAACTGTCTGGGAAGGAGTAGGAAGTATGGCCTTGTTGGAGGGGAGCTACTGTGGACAAGCTTAAGATTTCAAAACAAGCTGGGCGATGGTGGCACACGCCTTTAATCCCAGCACTCGGGAGGCACAGGCAGGCGGATCTCTGTGAGTTCGAGACCAGCCTGGTCTACAGAGCTAGTTCCAGGACAGGCTCTAAAGCCACAGAGAAACCCTGTCTCGAAAAACCAAAAAAAAAAAAAAAAAAAAAAAAAAGATTTCAAAACAAAACAAAAACCTTCCACTATTTCTAGTCCACTCTCCCTGTCTCCTGCTTATGAATCAAGAAGTGAGCTCTCGAGTGCCACCAGGCCTTTGCTCTATCATCATGGATTATAACTCTCTGAAACTGTAGGCCCAAATGCCTGCTTTTTAAAAATAAGTTTCCTTGATCATGGTCAGCAACAGAGAAGTAAGCTAGCCACCACGTGTGGATCTTCAAAATAATTTCCAAAGTATCTGTAATGAAAATGAACTCTATCCCTCCCTTCCATGAGACAGGATCTCATACTGTAGCCTAGGTTGGCTTGGAACACTCTGTAGCCCAGGCTGACCTCAAACTCATAGAAATCACTATGTATGCCTGAGATTCCTGAATGCTTGGATTACAGGCAGGAGTCACCACCATAAGCAAGCGTGAAGCTCATGGATTGCAGAGCACAGTATCTTTGTCTGGTGAGAGGTCTGGGCATCTGTGACTACACACGCTTCAAAGAAGCATCTAGTTCATTGCTGATTTCTTCTGAGCTGTGAAACCAACACAGCACCATGTTCTCAGCACAGAGTACCAGACAATTCTGCGACATGTCATGTGGCATCTTACCCAGATGACAGCTCACTGGTACTGCCTTCCAGGCAGTCACGGGAGGCCATATCTTGTGACATTTCCAGTCAGTGATTGGTGGCAGCAACTGCATCTACCTCCTTACTGTTATAATTTCCTGTGACGGTCATTTCAGTGTAGAGATTCATTGGTCACCAGAGTTAAATAAGGTGATCAGAGAGCATGGGTCAGCATTACCAAAGGTCCTCACAATGGGCTCTTTAGACTTTTCTCTGGTTAATAGGAAGAGACACTGGCAGTCCTGGAGCCTTGCGATGTCTGATGAAGTTGGATCTTCTCTTTAGGGTCATGTCCCTGCCTGTGATTTTTCTGGGGAATGGTGTCCCTAGGATCCATTCCCCTTCATAAAGAACTCCCTCTGTGGCAAGACTAAGCAAGGATCTGAATCCTTTCTGGTTCTCAGATTGGTCCGTTGATCCTGAAAATAGGAACCCCAGTCTCTTTTGAGTCTGGGAAGTGGGGACAGAGCTGGGGAAGAGGCTGAGTGGGGGGACAGAGGCTGGGGAAGAGGCTGAGTAGGGGGGAGCAGAAGCTGGGGAAGGGGGTTCTATGTACAGGAAGCAGTGCAGAGTGTACCCCCAGATATCCTTGCAGTCTGCTTGTATGAGTCCGACTGAAGGAGACAGAAATTCTACAGGCTTCCCCACCCTCTGTTTTAAAGATCAGAGTTGGAGTCCAACTCCTTTTTAAGACAAACATTTTAAGTGGTGCTCGGGGTGTAACTCAGAGCCTTGTATGTGCTTGGGGTGTAACCCAGGGCCTTGAATGTGCCAGGGGCATAACCCAGGGCCTTGTATGAGCTAGGGGTGTAACCCAGGGCCTTGTATGAGCTAGGGGTGTAACCCAGGGCCTTGTATGAGCTAGGGGTGTAACCCAGGGCCTTGTATGAGCTAGGGGTGTAACCCAGGGCCTTGTATGAGCTAGGGGTGTAACCCAGGGCCTTGAATGTGCCAGGGGCATAACCCAGGGCCTTGTATGAGCTAGGGGTGTAACCCAGGGCCTTGTATGAGCTAGGGGTGTAACCCAGGGTCTTGTATGTGTTAGGGGTGTAACCCAGGGCCTTGTATGTGCTCAGGGTGTAACCCAGGGCCTTGTATGAGCTAGGGGTATAACCCAGGCCAGTTGGGGATGCTATTGCATGCCTATAATTCTTCTACATAGGCAGAAGAATTGCTGCAAGTTTTAGACTGTTCAGGGCTACGTAGTGAGACCTTTTCTGAAAGGAGGAGGAGGAGGAAGAATAGGAAGAAGGAGGAGGAGGAAGAAAGAAAAAGAAGAAGAAGAAGAGAATCATGAGAAAAAGGGGGAAAAAAAGGATTAAGACCCAAAGATATGCATTACATTAAGGTGCCAATATGGGGGGGAACTGGTAAGAGGGCTCAATGGGTAAATGCACCTGCTGTCAAGCCTGCTGACCAGAGTTCAATCCCCAGGATTCATGTGGGAAGAAAGAAAAGAAAAAGAAAGAAAGGAGGAAGGGAGAGAAGGAGGAAAGGAGGGAGGGAGGAAGGAAAGAAAAAAATAGGAAAAAAAAGCAGGACAGCCTAATAGTATTTGCTATTCTGTAATCAAAACAATAGAGCATAGCTGCTGGACCAGAAATCAATGGAGTAGTCGCGCCACCTCGTGACAATATATGGTATTGCCATCAGTGGTGCCAGCTTGTCTCCAAACAGTCTCAAAAGTCTGATAAATTTGGAAGCTTTATCAAGGTACATGTATGTTGCCTTGGGTTTTTTCAACCATCTCTCGGCCTTCACTCCCTCTTCTCTCCCCTTAACAATTCATGTTTCATGGCCTAAGGTGTTGGATATTGCTAAAACTTAAAAAATAAAGGAAAAGCCGGGCGGTGGTGGCGCACGCCTTTAATCCCAGCACTCGGGAGGCAGAGGCAGGCGGATCTCTGTGAGTTCGAGGCCAGCCTGGTCTACAAGAGCTAGTTCTAGGACAGGAACCAAAAGCTACAGAGAAACTCTGTCTCAAAAATAAAAAAAAAATAAAGGAAATTCACTTCTGTACGAAAAACCAACTTAATACAGATGTGGTCTAGAGGAAGTTTTTGTCCGTCCGTCTGTCCGTCCGTCTGTCTGTCTGTCATCTATCCATGAGTCTGTCTACCTATCTGACATGATCTATGTAGGTCACTCTGGCCTTAAACTCAATATTACTTCATGTAAATTCCAGGATGACCTGGTTTCCTGATCCTCCTGCCCCCTTCTTCCAAGGCAGGGATTACATGTGTCAATCACCTGGTTTATTGAGAGGTCTATTTGTTGTTGCTTATTTGTTTTATAGGATTTATTTACTTTATGTGTTTGTTCTGCCCAAATGTGTGCCCAGTGCCTTCGGGGGACGGAAGAGGGTGTCAGTCAGATCGCCAGAAGCTGGAGTTATAGAGGATTGTGAACTCCCATGTGAGTGCTGGGAATGGAACCCTGTCCTTTCTCTGTAAGGACACCTAGTGCTCTTAACTGTAGCTGCAGCCCCTAGATGGAGGGCTTTTTTAGTTTGTTTGTTTTGCTTTTTAATCCTCTGGGATCAACAGCCCCATTTATACAAGATAAGCACAAGATTAAAACGTGCAGCTGAGACTGAATGATGCTTGTCTACCGTTACAGGGAGGGTGTGGTGGCACACACCTTTAATCACAGCACTTGCGAGTCAGAGGCGGTGGGAGCTCTGTGAGTTCAAGGCCACTAGTCTACACAGTTCCCGCGACAACCAACGCCACATAGAAAAATCCTGTTTCAAAACGAACACACAACAAACAGATCCCAAATAAATAAATAGGTAGATATACAAATAAATAAAAATAAAAAAGAATCTTCCAGAAATTTGCAGTTCTATCTTTGCCTTCTCATGATTGTGGATATTCTTTGCTGGGAAACAGCCCCTAAACTGAGTGTCTGGAACCAGAGTAGTTTGTGCTTCTGCATTTTAGGATAAAGGCATATGATATTAATATCATGTCTGTAGGATTTATGCCATGTAGAGACCCGTGGAGACCCATCCATGTTGCTGGTGGTTACCCTGCATGGTCAGTCTCGGCCTTGAAGGCAAACTACTTCATTCCTGTCTGTATGGTCATGTGGCTTTTTCCATGCCTCTCTGTGCCCAAATAATCCATCTTCTTTGCCTTCAAAAGATGTCAGTGGGGCTGGAGAGATGGCTCAGAGGTTAAGAGTGCTGGCTGCTCTTCCAGAAGTCCTGAGTTTAATTCCCAGCAACCACATGGTGGCTCACAACCATCTATAGTGGGATCTGGTACTCTCTTCTGGCAAGCAGGCAAACTTACAGGCAGAGCACTGTGTACATAATAAAGAGAGAGAGAGAGAGAGAGAGAGAGAGAGAGAGAGAGAGGACACAAACACATGTAACTGTGGGGAGGGGGCTCCAGTTGAGGAAAAGTCAACCAACATCTTCTTTCTTTCTTTCTTTCTTTCTCTCTCTCTCTCTCTCTCTCTCTCTCTCTCTTTCTTTCTTCCTTTCCTTCTTTCCTTCTTCCTTTCTTTGTTTCTCTCTCTCTCTCTCTCTCTCTCTCTCTCTCTCTCTCACACACACACACACACACACACACACACACACACACACAGAGTCCTGCTTCTCTAATACATTCACCCTCACACATACAACAGGCACATCCGGGTTCTTATAGCACATCCCTGGTTCCCATTGGAGGTTTCTGTGCTGGGTTTTCATCCTCTT